CAGCAGAAAGATCGAGGAGGACGAGGAGGCAGAGGGAGCCCTAGTCATAAATGGACAAAATGTTGTTTGTCACCTTGACCAGAGCAGTTTCTGTGCTCCGAGCAGCACGGAAGCCAGATTGGAGGGGTTTGTGAAGGGAGTGGTAGGAGAGGAATGAGCGAAGCTGGGAAGCAACAACTCTTTCAAGGACCTTTGAAAGAAAACGGAGGTTGGAAATGGACTGGTAGTTAGAAGGTGTGGATGGGTCCAGGCAAGATTTTTTCAGGATGGGGGTGATTGTAGCTGTTTTTAGGGGGATGGGAACAGCGCCAGATGAAAGAAAGAGATTGATGGTGTTGGCGAGTAGAGGGGCGTGAATAGGCGGAGCTGGGAGGTAAGTAGAGGGATGGGGATGGGGTCAAGGAGCAGGTGGGGTGTTTCATGCTGCATATTGTGGTGGTGAGAGAGGAGGGGAAGTGTGTACCTATGCAGTGAAAACAGTTTAAAATGTGGAAAGAGGATGGATAGGGGTCGGAGTCTGGGGGGAGATGGGGAGGGAGGTGGCTGTTGGAAGGGCTGAGGCAGCTGAACGGATCAGCTCGATTTTGGACTCGAAGAAAACCAGCATCTCCTCACAGTCAGAGCTTGAAAAAACAATATAATGAAGGAAGAGATGAGGGGCTAACATTCTGTGGTTTGCTTCTACTCATGTTAAGAATATACTCCGGTTAAAAATACACTTCTAAAACCAGTGAACAAATCATGGAAAAGCAGTTGAACATGTATCACATTTACTTTGACTTTCAAGATCCGGTTTTAAATCCTTGAAAATCTTGTGATGCAAAACCTTCCCTGAAACGTAATTCAAACTTCCCTTGAGGTTTATACCAATTTTTATTGATATTTTAAACAATACAGATGATTCGGGCAACTAATAATAATGCACTGTGTGGTTACTCTTTTTTTCATCCTCTAGAAATACATGCATATTTCTTTCATGTTAGGTTAAAGAGACCGAAAAAGTGATATAGAATTTGAGTTAAAAATGTCACAGTTTCAAATTCAATGTAATGGAGACATGATTAGCACTACTATTTACCTTTGCTGGGAGAAAAGTGAGACAAATATGGTATATTCTGTTGTTGAGCTACTTCCTTGGTGATGAATGAAATATTGGTCTCATTTTTCTCTTAATGGAGGGAGGAATGGAAGCCTTGTCAGATTCAGAGGTATCAAAAATTGATACTAGGAAAGATTTTTTTTAGCCATGGTAAAGCAATACAGGGGGTCTAAAATACAACAGGAAGCTACAAAGACAGTGGAGTCTTGTTATAACATGATAGTTGGAATCCATAAAATGCCAATCTGTGTGCTATAGTGAAGCTTTGATAACTGGTTTCACTGCACAGGTACACAGCTGACTGGTTTACTCCGCACATGCGAAATAGTTCCTCTGATTAAAAAAAGCTGCCTTCCTGCAAACAAGATGTGATGATGGTAGTGACCTAATATCTGGAACTCAGACATTTTAGAGGAAAAGCTGGCCGAAATACAGGAAGCGAATGGGACAGCTGCGTGTATACTTTGATGTCACCTATTTTTGGCTGTGTGGGAATGCATCAAGTCACACATCCAGTTATAGACAGGAATTGCTAAATGTAATTTCTCGTTACAAGTGTCTTATTTGTAGTGCCTTTATATGTATGTGCCATTGCTGTGTAATTATTTTGATGTGTAAAGGGTAAATGACAGACAGCACACCATAGTCCTGCTGGAAAGTATTTAATTTTAAATCTGATCCTTCTAGTTTGTTGTCATTACTTAAGTTAAACAGCCTACGCCATCTTGTTCTACTGTTTACACCAACTATTCCTTCAAGACCTGGCTCTTTTATCTAATGGGAACAAATTCAGCTCTGCAAACCCCTTTTCTTATCTTATGGCTTTATTCCTGTTGCTCCTCTCTGATATATCTCCAATGCTTTGATTCAGTGTTATTTATGTTGCAATATCATTGTGTGATGAGGTTTCCTTTACAGGAAGGTGGGGTGGGGAGGAAAGTTTTTTTTTAAATATCATGGGCTCTATTTTCAAACTTCTGTTGTGCTGCAGATAATTTTGATTATATTTTTGCCTAACCTGGAATTGTGAAGTTTCTAGAGCTTGAAGTATTTTTCAGATCTCCAAATTTGCACAGATTCTTACGTGTTTACGAGGTCAAAAGGCATCTGGCAATATTTTTTTCCCACAGGCTTTCAAAACCAAGAACCATCAGGTGATACTGCAACATGTGCCATGTTACAAGGTTGTACTAGGTTGTACATTCATAGAGCCTCTCAGTTTAGTTTAACCACAGCAGGTACTTTGAAATGGCCTGGGAGCTGATCTGTAACTGCCCAGTCCAGGAAAAGCACAGAAGCAGGGAAGATGAGGTAACATAGAAGTGGGTGCCCCTGTCAAATTTAGTAATGTTTTTCCAGATTATTCTTTTCTTCCCTGTAACATAAGTCTGGAGTGAATTAACATCCGAGGAGATGAGTCCTAGTGATGATCTGGATATTTTTGTCCGGTAAACTTTGAATGGAAAATACTGTCTTCTTCCTCCTCTCCAAAACTTTCTCCTTCTTTGACCCCTGCTTGGCGAAATAGGGTGGTCGCAACATGGATCATTTATATGTAAAAGTGATTTACTTCAGAATTAGGCTATCAAAACTCTGCATCCATCAGGTGGCGTGCCAACATCATTTTGTATCAGGGTCAGGATTCATATATCTCCTGGGGAGGAGGGAAAGGTTGCCAAAAATGGGATGCCCTGTGAGGGCAGAGAGACGAAAAATGGGGATAAGATCAAGTGCAGAACAGTGAGACAGATTCTCTTTGAAATTCATGGCGGAATGCCAGCAGTTCCACTCAGAGCTGGCAACTCAGGCAAAGAGTCAGAGAGGAAGGACAAGCAAAAGAAAGGGAACGAAAAGGATACAGTGGTATAAGAGGAGTCAGTGATATTTGGATCCAATAAGAGTTGAAAGAACTGGAGTCAAAAGAGGGAGGTGAAAGAACCTTTAAGCCCAAGGGGAATATCTCTGGATAAATAATAGATTAAGTGTTGTGATTTAAGTATCTGACAGCAATATTCCCTCCACTGTCAGGATGCTAGGATTGGTAAGGTTTCAATAGGATCATCTGGACCTGAAGATGTCATCGCTTGGCCTCTTGAGTCCAGTCCTTTGCTTATGATCCCTAATCACCCTTTTATTCCTTTCCTTCAATGATACAACAGTATCTACAATTGGAGCACATTTCATTTACTCTTCCCAGAGCACAATGGATCAGAATTCCCATGTATCTGATTACCTGCAGGAGTTACTATTTGTGTTTTCACCCTCCTTTATGTCTAATGGAAAGTAATGTAAACAAAAAGTTCACCCTCAATTCTTTTCTTCCCCCTTTGAAGTTTTTAGAAGGTCTGGATACTGCTCCAAAATCCAGGAGATTAAAAAAATAATAGTTTTCAATAATTTATCTCCTTCAAAATGAAATCCCTGTTAAGTCAGATCTAGCGAGAAATTCATGTTGGAGTAAATGAACTGAAACAATCAAATACGTAGAGTTAAGTCTCGCTCTTGGTGGTTCAGCTCATGTTCTTTATAATTATGATTATAATGAGATCACATATAATTGCTGTGTGTGACAAGTTTCAAGAAAGATGCCTGTTGTGCAAGGTGCCTGCCAAATTCTGCATTGAATAGATCCAAGATGAAAAGCAATACATAAAGTTACGGAAATGCTATAGTATGATGGTTTAATATAAAAACATGATATCTGACCGATGATATGATATTCTGATTTATACTGAGAATCTTGATTTCCCTTCAGTGAAATGTATAATTAATAATAGATATTTGAGAGGTGTTGGAAATGTTTTAATTTCAAGATTCAGATAACATTGTAAACTGTGAGAGAAAGTTCTTGTCATTAGGAAGTTGCCTTTACTGTGATTATTGCAGCATTGCAATCACTTTTTACATCTCTTATTTAAATTAATAAGTGCAATTTTAATTTTGTTTGCAGGTTTGTATTCAATATGTGGTGTGTTTTTGTGGTAATGTCAGATATTGAGACTGTCACTGATTGCCAGTGTTCTGCATTAGTTAGAACTGATTGTTGGGATGCATTTCTTTCCACACGGAGGGTTGTGAAGATGTGGAATACTCTGCCCAGAAAGCTGTAGAGGCAGAATCAATAGGGATGTTTAAAAAAGGGACAGGTAGATGCTTGGTTAATAGAGGTATTATAGGGTGTGATGAAAGGGCGAGGCATTGGGATTAAACAATTAGCCAAGATCTAATAAACTGGTGCAACAGGCTCACTGGGCTGAATGGTCTCCTTGTGATCCTACGTCTCTGTGACACATGGTAGCAATCATACTGCGCCATTGATATTGCACGATTGCTGAGAAATGATCTGCACTTGAACTGCCAGTTCTGAAGATCACCATCATGACTTTCCTAATTAAGAAATCTATAATGAAACACCGCAAAATTTACCCCAACAGTAGTAGCACGTGCAATGAGAAAGTGCAAAGAAAAAGGCCTCCTTATAATTCATCGATGAAGGCTGGCTATACAATGTACTTGTGGTCTTAATGTCGTTTTCCCCAGCGAACTATAAATTGTTACTGTAGTTCCCACCTTTTCATGATGTATGGTGTACAGATTTAGCACTGCTAAATATTTTAAGAAAGTTCTTAATCATGACAGCAACATAACAGATAAGATATACTCATACCATTGTAAGTAGGAATATTACTTGGATGAACAAAGTTGTATTTACAGGACGAAAATGGCTATGTGTTACTTGGAATTAGGCAATATGGTAAATATTGATGTCACAAAACTTCTGACTTCTGCACAGATTTTCAGCCTTTGTCGTTAAGGTTTGTTTGAACCAAATAAGTTGTAGACTGAAGTTATAATAGTATGTTTTTTCTCTCTCTCTCTCTCTCTCTCTCTGTCATGGCAGGTTTGTCCTCTATGGCCTCCCTGATGTCCCTTGCCTGGGTGCTGGCTTCATATCACAAATTGCTTCGGGACTCCAGGGATGACAAAAAAAGCATGAGCTACAGAGGTGCCCTAATCCACATCTTTTGGCGTGTGTTTACCATATCATCCAGGGTCATTTCGTTTGCATTGTTTGCTTCTATTTTTCAGTTGTATTTTGGAATTTTTGTAGTTGTACACTGGTGTGCCATGGCATTCTGGATCATCCATGGCGGAACAGACTTCTGCATGTCCAAGTGGGAGGAGATTCTGTTCAATCTGGTGGTAGGGATCGTGTACATATTTGTTGGTTTAATGTCAAAGAAGGCCGGACACGATATCGAATGTTTGCCTATTACACTGCAATCTTGACAGAAAATGCTGCCTTGACTTTTCTTTGGTATCTTTACAGAGATCCCACAACCACCGACTCTTATGCCATGCCAGCACTGTGTACAGTTTTTGTTTGTTTTGCTGCTGGGGTAGTGTTTATGCTCTTGTATTATGGTTTACTGCATCCTATGGGACCACGGACAAAGATCTTTGCTAGTTCCTGCTGTGCTGAGCTGCTCTGGGGTATCCCTCTACCTCCAGAGCTGGAGGCTATGGCAGCCACACCAGCAGCACCGAGAGGCTCCCAGGCCACGCCGACCCGAATGGCAGAAGAGGAAGAGGAGGAGGATGCAGCTGAGACCTGCCTGCCTGTATTCCAAGTGCGACCCACAGTGCCACTTACACCATCCGGCCGACCCTACCTACCAGAGGGACCAATCATCAAGATTGACATGCCAAGGAAAAGATACCCTGCTTGGGATGCCCACTTTGTAGACAGAAGGCTAAGGAGGACTATTAATATACTACAGTACGTAACCCCCACATCAGTAGGTATTAGGTATAGAGATGGACCTCTTGTATACGAGCTGCTACAGTATGAATCTTCATTTTAAAGCTTCACCCGTTGATACTAACAGAGAAGTAATTATGTTTACGCCAGGCACTCTAGACACTGTCATTCAACTCCCAAAACATATAGCCCACAGATATGTTTCTTTTCCTGGTAGCTGTCTGTATATAAAGATATTCTATATGTTTTCTAAGTAACAAAAAAGTTTAAAAATCTTTTTACGTAGCAAGATACAGTATTTATACTGTACACTTGATGGTGGAAATCTTGTGTTCAGCAAGATATTTTCCCAATGTTAAGAGAAGTCAGATACACTTGCATTCATACACACACACATGCACACAACACACATACACACAGAGTTTATGTGTATGCAGAGCATTAACGGACTGATGGTGTGTGGAACTGAAAAATCAAATCATGACCACCATTCAACAAGAAAACTTAAAAGAGCAGCTTAAATCCTTTTCAGGGATTTAGGGAGCTCATGGAGTTTTTCAGTTCCACAATCCCATACTTGGCAAAAAAGTTATGTTTCTAAGTAAATACTGTGTTTCTTCTGTGTGTAGGTGAGCTTTTTATTCAAGTAATAAGCTGTTATTACTGTCCAAGGTGCAACCATATGTCAAGTACAGCACATCCGATCCTTGACATATAGTTTTTTTTAACAGAAATAGTGCTGTTTGGTTTTGTAATTTACGGAGTGCTTTTTTATTTAAATAGTTGCAGAAAAAGTTATCAATTTTATAACTTGCAACATTGGGAAAACTGGAGTTTTTCTTTACCTGAATATACCTGAATTTTAACTGGTTACAACAACATGAACCACAGTGTTATATAGCAGTTATGTTAAGTCCATCAAGCCTTCTGCCATGCAGGAGTGGTGCAACTTCCCTGGCTAAAGCCATATGGTGCGATTCAGTAAGCCAACGAACAGCCTATAACAGCCTAGCTTTTTTTTTTAACCCTTTTCTGCCTGACCAGGCCTTTGCATGTGGAACGTGCATGCAACCTTCTCAAAAAGGGTTACTCTTATGACTTCCTTGTGCAGCTCAGGTGTATTCTGGTGCAGAGATTCCCAGATAGCTTTGACATAGGAGTATTTAAAGGATTCCGATAATAATGTGGATAGAGATTTTGCTGCCATAAAGCAATGCCTAATATGACAATTGTCATGAGATATAAGGTGCAAGGAGGATACAGCTTAGATAATTTGCATTTTTAGCTCTGGTGGATAGGATTTCTTTGTTCTATTCTTTGATATTTCTTTGATATTAACAAAAATATCTAACGTAAAGAAATGACTCATTGAGTCATCCTTTGACGCTTCAAGGAACACAATCCTGCTTCCTAACATCTACAAGTATATTTTGAATAATTGTCTAAAAAGTGAAACTAACAGCTGTTGTGATTTCTAAAAACTATTTAATATCAAAGCCTTTCTCCCAAAGCAGTTTAAAAGTTTGGGATTTTGTTTTCCACCAGAAACATTATTCTATCATCCTCCTTAGATGATTAATATATTGAAGATATTTTTTAACAGACAAAATTCTTTATTTTCTCAATTCACTTCAATAAATGGTATCTCTTTGTAAAGTGATTGTAATAATAAGTAATAATAATTCGGCCAATTCGGCCAATTGGTGCTAGCTTCTCCCCTGGAGCTAACTACTTGAATCTCAATTCCCTGCTCTTTCACAGTATACATCTATGTTCAATTTTAATCCATTTATGCATTTCATCTCTTAAATTTGGTTAATCCTCCAAAAGATATTGAGGGAAAACAGTGTAGCTACACATTACTGTACAATGTCATGCATCCATAACATTTCCACTTGCCAATCACCCAAATCAATTGGCTCTTTTTATCAACAAGATACTGACCAAATATTGCTAAAAATTAAATGGACTAAGCCACCATTGGAAAAACGCTTCTCATTGAATACGTAATTTTAAATAAGAAGGAGGGTATTCGAACATTGATCACATTCCTCTGAGTTATACAGTACAGAGTTCCCTAATCTTGTTCTAAAACATTGTACTTTAAAGAGCTGACTAATTTCCACTGATACAAAGAAAGTAATTGCTCATTTACATAAGAACTATTATAGCAAATCCTGTGAGGTAAATGTACATCTGCTCCTTGTGGGCAATGTAAGTATTTATTAAAATGTATGATAAAGAACTCCAGCTCAAACAGTATAATGCAAAATGCAATGTACATTTATGGCTTGCAATTGTTTGGAGAATCATAGATTGATTTATTACCTCTGCCCAGCCAAGCATTATCCTTTTGATGAGGGATGTGAGCAAAAGTAATTTTATTTAGTTATTCCCGATGGTTTAAAGATCAGGTAATTTGTGGTTCTAAAAACAACTTTTCAAGTAACTCCCACATCTATGATATATTATGACATTAACAAGTTACACAAAGATTGTTTAATTTTGTCTAGCAATTATTTTATTCTTTAGAGTAACCAAGTGAAAGGTAGTAATGTGCCTGTGCTGAATAACTTAATACTGGAGTTATTGTAAATAGATTTAATGATAACTGCAGACTATCAGTATAGTAATTAGGCCTCCAACACTTTCAATGTACTTATAATAATAATAATAATCCTTTCATTTGATATAGCACTTTTCACATCTTCTCGACGTCTCAAAGTGCTTCTCAGAACACACTGTAAAGTGAATTGACCGTATATTTGTGGGCGAAACGCAGCAGCCAATTGCGCACAGCAGTGTCCCACAAACAGTTGTGGATTGAAAATGACCAATTTATTATTGTTTTTGGTTTTGGAGGGATTATTATTAGGCGTGTGGAGTAAGGAAACTTGTCCAAGGTTTCGCCCTGCCTGGAATAGAACCCAGGTGTCTCGCTTGCAAGGTGAGCGCTCTAACCACTGAGCTACAGGACTTCACTTGGCTGCCTTTCTGACCTGATCTCCCCAATTCTGTTCCATTTTATCTCTCCCCCCTTTTTATTAATTTTTTCGTTCCTCTTTTTTATTTTATGTGCGGTTTTAATTTTGTTTGTGCGACGTTGCTGGCAGAAATTAGTTGCTGGGTTTACGCATGTACATTTTTGTACTCATTTTGGGATGTGGCATTTATTGCCCACCCCTAGTTTTCCTCAGAACTTGATGGTGATACATTTCTTTAAGCCTCTGCAGTCCTCCTGACATAGTTTTCTTATAACTAAGTGGCTTGCTAGGCCATTTCAGAGGGAGTCAACCATTTTGTACGAGACTGGAGGCATGTGTAGGCCAGATTTCTTTCCCTTAATGACATTAGTGAATCAGTTTTTTTTGACCACAACAGCTTATATTTCTATAGCACCCTTCACATGGGGTTTGCATCTCGGAATACTTTTATATCAATCCGGTATCTTTTCAGAGCCTGTTCAATCCCAGGAAGACCCCGTTTGTCTCCATCCTCCAAGTAGAATTTTTTGCTAATGAACCTCAGACTAGAATAGTTAACTACATCCTCTGAGACTGCAACCCAGAAACTTCAGTTCCCAGCCCAACCGAAGCTACTTAGGATGTCGAAATTATATCAGTGTGAAGTAAATCATTTACATCTTATAAGAAAGCCCGTTTCCATTACTAAAGTTGAGTTATACTGCTACGGATTTCAAATTGTAAATTTATATTGGTCCACTAGAGTTGATAATGGAGCCAATTAATAATAATAAACCTTGCATTTGATATAGCGTCTTATCACGGCTTTGAGACGTCTCAAAGCGCTTAACGCTTCAATTAAGTGGTAATGGAGTCAATTTAGTGGCACAAATTTATCACATTGAATGTACCTGGATGTGCTGAAGGTGGAACCCCCGATGCTTTTCTCAATGCTTTACATCAAACTAGGTCATTGGCATTGAACTTCAGATTATGGCCATTGACTACCAATTAGTACAATCTTGGCTACTGAGCTTTCCGTTTAGTAAAAACGCCACTGGTGGACATCGCCATTAAGAACACCATCGGAGAGGGAGGGCTTCATTTCTGGCACTTCCAAATGAACACCATGGACATTTAATGTGATAAATGTTGAATGCATTATTAAATAGATCCCAAGGTTCAAAAAGAAAGTATTGACCTTCTCATTCAGTAAAAGGTGGAAAAAATATTTCGATGACATCTCACCTGGTATCGAAAGAACTCATTTTGGTTCTGCCCTGCAAGATATTCATTTTCTACATTGACCACAACCTTTTTTTCGTGCTATTTTGATTGAACTACATTCCTTAATTTGTATGTGAAACTGTCTCCTGGGGAAACGTTCTGCTAGATACTCCCTGATTCCAAAAGATCTAGATATTCCCAAGATACACCCAGCTCGGGTGCCCAGCCAGAACTGTTGAGTGTTTTGGGACACTTCCTGACGTGAAAGGCATACTGTAAATGTAAATTTGTATTGTATGACATTGATTACCAAAGGTAATTTGGCAAAAATCTTAAAATATTTCATGCATCCTCATGTCTACACTGATTAACCCTGGCCTGATTCCAATCTTAAGACAACTGCTGCTTTCTTCACTCCTTCTGCCTTCTCCCCACCCCTTCCCTCAGCCCTTTGTATTGACCATTGTGTGCTTTGAAGAATTTGTCTATCTCAGTCTCAATGTCCAATACTTTTCCCAACTACAGGTATTTATCTAATTCTTTTTGAAGGAGTTAATCGACACAGGATCAAACTTTGTTGGGAATCGATTCCACGTATGCATTGTTCTGCGCAGTAAGAAAAACTCAGTCTCTAATCTTATTTGAGGTTATTTATTTTAAACCTATGCCCTATGACAGTGATGAGCAGGACATTAACATTAACGTTGAAACACTTTTAACTTGTTAATAGGAGACGAATGTATGTCAGCTGATTTCCTACAGCAGGTGCTAATAACTTACCTTTACAATCACGTAAAATGAGAGGGACCCCAGGCCTATTTAAATGTTCTGGTTTATTTTTCTCAAAGATGAGACATAGTTTATATTGTTCCAATCAAAAATTGTGGCCAAACTAAAACACTAAGGTTTGGTA